CGTGCGGAATGGCCCCCACCTGCATGTGTGCAGCAAGATGCCCTCTCTGATTTATAGATCTGCCTGTCCAACCCGGCCACTTGGGTGTCTAATTTGGTGACACTCAGATCCTGACCCCTCTCGCCCACTAGCCGCTCAGGACAAAATCTTTCGCTCACACCCCACACTCACTGCATCAGCAATCCTGTTAGCCCTCCTTCCAAAATATGTCCAGGGCCTCTGGGCCTTTGCACTGACTCCCTCTCTAGGTGCTTCGACTGGGATTTCTACATGGCTCATACCCTCACTTCCTTCAGGTCTTAACTCCTTCTGACCGATCTGAAATTGTCCTTTTGACAGTCCTGTGTTGTATGTCCCCATGGCATTTGTCACTATTAAATACATTGCTCTTTGTCCTTATTTATCTTATTTATCTCCCCCATTAGAAAATAAGCTCCACGGGGGTAGAGATTTTTTGTCTATTTTGTATTCCTAGATTCTGCTTGCCATAAAGCAGGCAATATATACATATATATTTTTTAAACTATTTGAGAGAGAGAGAGAGAGAGAGCACACAAATAGGGGGAAGGAGCAGGAGAGGGAGAAGCAGACTCCCTGCTGAGCAGGGAGCTCGACGTGGGGCTCGATTCCCCAGGACCCTGAGATCACGACCTGAGCCGAAGGCAGCCACTTAACCGCGAGAGCCATGCAGGCGCCCTTACATATTATTTTTTTTTTTAAAGGAATCTCTACACCCAACGTGGGGCTCAAATTCACAACCCTGAGATCAAGAGCCTCACACTTGTCTGACAATATATTTTTGTTGTGCATATATATAAACCCAAAGGATTAACTGTGAGTCTAAAGGGTGAGAGAGGCAGGGCCCATGTTAGAGATGCCGGCAGCCAGGAGGGGGCAGCAAAGAGCCACCCAGTGTGGATGAAAGATCGGGGAGGCACGGGGCACAAGCTGTGTGACCTTCAGTGAGTTTCTTAACCTCTCTGAAACTCAGTTTCTTCCTGTAAGATTGGTTATTGGGGGGGATCCCGTGTGCTGCTATGGGAAGGCTTTGTGACCGGCAGATCATAAGCACGATGTAGAGGTTAGGTGTCCACGGTGTGGGCAGTTGTCCAATGTCCAACGGTTGGGGGACAGGACAGTGGCATCACTGTGATAACAGCCTGATGAGGGAATGTCGTAAGGCATTTTAAAGACATCAGAAAATGCTTATGTTTTCAGCGTGTATGCATGTAAATTTATAGAAAGAACAACAGCGAGATGTACAGTTAATAAGCTTGGGGGAAAATCTGGAAGAAATGTATCATCCAAAAAACGAACGGCCATCTGGGCACTTAAGATTTCTGTGTTTTCCAAATTTCCACCGCGGGCACCTATCTGCATTTCCCTTTGGGTTTTTATGACCTACTAGAATGTTCTGTGATTGTTACTACCCCAGCCCCCTGGGCGGAGGGCCTCTCCTTCCTGCGTCACCACAACCAGCATTACCCCGAACAGCCTGCATTGCTGTGCTGGGTGTTCACGGCTGTGGGCCCCTCGGTTTGGGGAGAGTGCCTTGAGCTGGTGCCAGGCTCAGCCAGATCCCCCTCCAGAGCAAACACGACCACTGTGCTCGTGTTTGCGGAACTGTGGCCTGTGGCCCCTGGTGCACATCTGTGCCCGAGAGCAGGATGCCTGGGGCTCTGAGGGTCTCTGAGGGACTCTTAGTGCTGTCCCCAGGCACTTGCCTCCCTGCCCCGCCCCCCGGCCCGGCCTCCCTGCTTTAACACAGCAGCTCCAACGGCGTGGATCTCTCCTGGGCCTCACTCGCTAGGGCTCCTGAGGTCACACCTGGGTCACCTGGGTCACCTGGGCCCACTGAAGGCAGGACTGGAGTTCACGCTGGTAGAAGTGGAGGGCCTGGCCCCACCATCCCTCTGCAGCCCCAGGTCCCCCCACCAGGATCCCTCCAGCCAGCATTCCGACCCCCTAGGGATCTGTCAAGCCACTGGCCCACAGGTCCCCTGACCAGAGGCCCCCAAATCCCACCCACCGTCCTCTGAGACTTGGTCCAAGTCCATCATTAGCCAGGCACCTCGGGGGAAACTGAGGCCCTGAGGGCGGACGTGATGTACCCAGTTGGGACAACACTAAAGGCCTTGGGATCATCTCTTTTGACCCAGAACAAAGCTGGCTCAGGAATGGCCATACCCTCTCCCCACTCTGGCCTGGCCCACGATTCTAGGAAGCATTGTGAAAGCCCTATAGGTTTAACGACCGATTTATCTTCAAAGGATAAATTTTCTTTAGCATTCACTTTCTCAGATGGTTCTCTTAGCAAAGGCTTCTATGGGAGCCTTCGATAAATCACCTAGAAAATCTCAGAGCCATCCTTAACAGGCCTCCCCTTCCAGAGAAGCCCCCTTCTTCCCAAGCCTCACGCCCCTGCACCTCCCCACCACACTCCCACCCTGTACCACCCACTGACCAGGCCTTCCCCAGTCACTGGTCTGCTCACACTCAAACCTTCCGCAGTATGGAAGTGGCTACACGGATGGGCTTCTTAGAAGGTTCCAGGCCCTGGGGAAGCCTCAACAAGGAGGAGCAAGGGGCATCTCTCCAAAAGTCTGCATGGACGTCTTGTGGGTACCAACGTGGACACATGATATTCAAGACTTGGTAGGCAGCCTGACCCTAACTCCTTGGCACTATGAAGCCTTCTGGAACCTGGACACGAGCCCAGGGAAAAGGGGAGGAAAATGGATCAGATTCTCCCACTATGCAGTGCGGGCTTTCGGTAGAAATCTGGTTCAATTTTACATGTCTTGTGCTTCTGAGTTTCCGTTCCATATATTTGGAAGAGGGCGAAAGAACTAGGAAAGTGTCTTGAAGGTCCTGCTGTGCCCAGGATAAAGCCTGTGTCTTTGCCATGACACGGCCAAGCTGGTTTCACTCCCTACCCCTGTCCCAGCCACGTGCCCTGATGGCCCCTCCGTCTGTGCCTTCACTTAGGCTGGGCCCTGCGTCAGAGCACAACACAATGTTGTGCTCATCTCCGAGACCCGGCTCAATGCCACTTCCTCTGGGAAGCCTTCCCAAGCCCCAGGAATAATCACCGCCGCCCCCACTGGATGATCACTTCCCATCACAGCTGGTCCAGGGCTGAAGGATTCACAAACGTCTCACCCAAGCGTCAGGATGAAGCCCCCCCCAGGACAGCTGGGGAAAAACAGTCCTCCACAGCCCGCCCGTCACTGCCCACCGTTTATCCAATTCCTATCACCGAGGGAGGCTGGTATGCGTTTCTCCATCACACAGATGAGCAAGTGAGGCTTGGGGATGATAAATAATGAGCCCAGAGTCACAAGGGTAGTAAGGTGGGGGGGCGGTGGCGGTGCAGGGATTTGAACCCAGGTCTGTCTGAGCAGCAGCCTGTGCTTTCCCACGGCCGACATGCTGCCACCGACCCCCAACCCAAATCAGATTATCTGCCACCCCTACCATCCATATGCCCAGGGCACCTGCGTCTGGTTCAGCCTACCTTCCTCTAGACTACGGCATCTGCTAACGTCCCGCCTCCCCCAGACACCTGAGCTCCAGCTCCAATTCACCTGGGGACCCCAGGAGCTGGCCTGTGTCAGGCTTTGGTGATTGTCTGCTGGAGGGCTTGGGGAGAGGCTGTGACCTCTTGTGAACTCTTGGAGGCCCCCGCGAGCCTGGACACCTTCCCAGCGCAGTGTGACGAGTGGCTTGAGTAAGCACGGAGCTGGCCGGCCGGCCCTCCCGGGCACCACCCAGCCTGGGATGCCAGTGCCTGGAAAGGCGTTGGCAGGCCGCCCCTTAGGGCTGGGCCAAGGGCTACTTTCCCATCTCCTCTTCCAGGCAGCCTGCCACCCTCTTCCACACCACGTGGACAGAGAAAGCATTTCCCAGGGCTCTCTCTGCACACAGAAGAGCCAAAGCACAGGCTGAGGGGTGGGTGGACAGGCAGACTGGCCTGGAGACGTCAGGAAGCTGCTCTAACCGCCAATGGGCCGCCAAGCTCCCCGGGCCGGAGGGCAAGCCCTCGTCTGAGGAAGGGCCTGGAAGCCCTGGGGTCCACGGGAAGGTTGCTGGCCGACCCTCTGCCCCTGCAGTGTTCCTCCGCAAAGGTCTGTAACCACTCTGTGTTACATACCACCCAGATCACTGGGCTTCCCTGCAGGGAAGCCAGGCTTTGGAGCCAACAGTCCCTTCACTAGAGGTGGGGCATCCGGGGGAGTCACTGATGTTCCCTCGGCCTCAGTTTCCTCCTCCGTAAAAAGGAGACAGGAAAAGGTCATAGTGCAAAGCGCTGACCTAGTAGCACACATCAGGTATCCGAACTGACTTCCTTTCCTGCTTCCCAAGCTCATTAATGACTGTGCCTGCCCCCCGAGCAGCTGCATGCTCAGGCCCCCATGGGGATCCTTCCTTCTGGAAGGAGGGGCTGGGCGCACACAGACTGCCTCACTGCATTTCTGCTCTCCCTCAGCATCTCCTGGGATGGGGCACGGGCTGGCCAGGCGCCCCTCTCCTTCAGGGTTTGGGAGGGCCTGGACACAGCCCATGGAGAAGATGGAGGTCAGGAGAGGCAGCTTGCCATCTAAGGCTGAAGAAGCACTTACCCACATCTCACCACCAAGTTTGCGGAGCCTGATGCAGAAACCCCTCCCTCTGCGATTAGGAACCGCCTGCCACCGAGCTTACCCACACACTCAGGTCAACCAGGCCCCTTCATCAGGAGGGGAGGGCCAGGCGCCCGCCCTCCTGAACCCTGGCCGGGTAGAGCACACGAGTCAACCCGAGCCCCCCTTTTCTCGGCCTGAGGTTCCAGTGTGGCCTTCCTCCTCCCACCTGGGATGGGTGCCCAGAGGAGGTGGGAGAACAGAAGGGCAGGGCTTGGAGTCCCACAGTAAGCTGGGCTCTGGCCTCTGGCCCCCAGCATGGCAGCCGGCCTCCCACGCCAAGCAGCCCCCCCGCCCCCCGCAGCCAGCACCTCTTACCAGGCTTTGGGATGAGTCCTTGAAAAGGCCTGAAAGAGAAAGAGAGATAGGAGTGTCAGTCAGAGGGGGGACCGGGGAGCTCTTTGGCAATGTCTGGGGCCCACCCCACACCGGCTGCCTCAGACTGGCATCTGAACAAGCTGCTCAGGGTGTCACTGCTCGGGCCGGACACAGTGACAACGTGGCAGTGTGATGTGCGGGAGGGTGACCAGGGCCTCCTGCTGGCCCTGCCCTGGCTGGCTCTGTGACCCCGGGCAAATCACCTGTCTCCGTGTCCTCCCCTCTGAAGGGGGCTGACCGCCTCTCCCAAAGGTTGGGGTGGGAGGGCAGTGAGGTGACGGGAAGGCCACCCCTCTGCTGTGGTGGCTGACGCGGGGTTCCCTGCACCCTGGCTGGCCTGCAGTCACCTTTCTGCATGCCCCGCCCCCGCCCCCGCGGGACCCAGGATGGCACCAGAGAGCAGAAAAGGCGGGACCAGATCAAAGGCAAGGCCAAGGGCCCTGCCCATGCTGGTCTGGCCTCCTCACCCTTCCCCTGAGTACCTGGTGACCGTGAACTTGATCTTGTCAGCCACTGCGAGGATCCTCTCCAGGTTCTGGGAGCCAAAGGTGCAGGGCTTTCGAAATGGGATTCCTGGGGGGAGCCCCTCAATGATCACCGAGCCGGGGTTACTCTTGATCCGCTTGTAGGGGACCTGGACGGGGTACTTGATGCCCAGGGCTTCTCCTGTGGAGGAGGGATGGAGGACAGGTCATCAGGAGCCAGAGCAGGGCTGGTGTGTGGACGCAGGGCACAAGCGTGATGGGAAGGTGTGTGCGTTGGGGGTGGGGGTATGGGGGCCGGCACGTAGCCCCGAGGGAAGGCACAATCGGTGGGGGGTGGGAGTTAGGGGGTGGGTCACGCAGGGGTACCGAGTGAGTCCGGGTGGGGTGGAGGAACGGGCAGGGCACGTGGGGCTTCAGCCGCAGGGGATAGGGTAGTGGCTCAGGTTCCTCGGCCTCTCGGCCTGAGAATCTGCAGGCCCACATGGAGGATGGGACCTGTGTGCATGGCTGGCCCTTTCCTACAACGCCTGACCCTCCATCAGCCCCCGAGGGCTCTGCCTCACTCTGGTTCGGGACCCGCCTGGCCTGAGGGCAGACTGCATTTGGGGTCCCTCCTGGACAGAGGGAAGGAGCTCACTGCGATCCCTCCAAGGGGCCCACTGAGAGCGTCATCCCTGCGTTGCAGGGTGTCCCTTTATGAAGACATGATGCAGAAATCTCTGCACGTCTCAGCACGAGGAAGAACTGTTGGAACCCTCTCTGTGTAAGAAACTAATTTTTATCTCAAGGATACTGGGACTGGTATAACTGGACTCATTTCCCTTTTTGCTCTGGCTCCTAGGGAACTCAGAGCCTGATATGTCATCTCCATCCCCCACGTACAGAATCTCAGTGGCTTCCTATGACCCCTGACCATTGTTCCTGCCCGTTTTTGTGGGTTTTCTTTTTTTCATTGAGATAAAATTTCCAGACCATAAAGCCGACCATTTTAAAGCGTACAATCCAGGCATTTTTCGTATACACACGAGGGTGTGAAATCCTCACCACGAGCTAGTTCCAGGACACGTTCATCACTCTGGGAAGAAACCCTGTGGCCATCTGAAGTCTCTCCCCGTCCTGCCTCCCCGAGCCCTGGTGGCCGCTCACTGACTCTGTCTTGACGGATCTGCAGCCTGTTTTTAATTCTTTATCCTGACCATGCTGCTGACTAGGTTATCCGCGATGGCGAAGAGATCCTCACCTCCCAAACGGCCCTTGCTACAATGACCGATGGCCTCCGTGTAGCCAAATCCAGTAGACACCTGCCCTTCTCTCGACAGAGTTTGGCACAGACGACCATGCTTCCCTCCCTGAAGCCCTCCCCTTGATGTCTGTGACCCCATGCCGCCACTTGGACCTGACCTCTAAACACCAGGGCTCCTTAGCCTTTGGTCTGGGTGCTCTTTCTTGCTCCTCTACACCCCTGGCCTAAGTTTTACATCCAATCCAGACTTCTCCTGAACAGCAGACTGGATCCCCACTTGCCTATGCGTCATCTCTACTCAGCCCTCATACTCAACACATCCAAGATGGCACCCATCCTTTCCCCCTCAAGCTACCCCTCCTTGATGAGGGCGCTGCCCCTTCTCTCTAGCTGACAGTTTGGGGTGGGTGTCTGCCTGTCTGCGGGCCCATGTGCCCCATCCCCCCTCTCTCCCTTGTCACAGTGATAGGTCCCCATCACCCATTGAGCATGTGGTGTTTCCCTGCCACAGGGATTGAGCGAGGAATGGACATGTGACTCAGTGGGGACCAATGAGAAACAAGGGGAGGGAATTCTAGGAAAGAAACCCCTGGCTCTCTGGAGAAAGGCCTCGGAAGAGCCAGCCCTCTCCTTCCTTACTCAAGGTGTAGGTGGGATGTCTCAACCTGCTGTGGCGGGAAGCCAGCCTGAGACTGATGCCAACATGGTGGAAAGACACCAAGGATTAGCTCTGAACTGCTGGATCCAGTTGATCCTGAAGGCTGCTCTCCTGCTAGACTTCCCAGGCTGTGAGCTGTGGCCCATAATACTGTCCAGAGACAGCTGCACCAACATTCCTCCCATCCCACACCCTCCTCTTAGCGTCACGTCGACACTCCCTCACAGAGAACTGGGGGCCTGTGTCCCCCCCCCTTGAACCTAGGCGGGACTTTGTAATTACCTCGACCAACAGAGTATGGCAGAGGCTCTGAGGCTGGGACACAAAAGGCGACGGCTTCCACCTGGCTGGCAAATCCAGCCACCATGGGGTCGCTACACTGGAGAGTCCATATGGGAAGATGGTACAGAAATGGGGACAGAGGCCTGAGGGGCCCGGACAGAGGGCGCCTGGGTGGCTCAGTTGGTTCAGCGACTGCCTTCGGCTCAGGTCATGATCCCGGAGTCCCGGGATCGAGTCCCACATCGGGCTCCCTGCTCAGCGGGGAGTCTGCTTCTCCCTCTGACCCTCCCCCCTCTCACGCTATCTCTCATTCTCTCTCTTTCAAATAAATAAATAAAAAATAAAATCTTAAAAAAAAAAAAAGAAACGGGGACAGAGGCCTGAGAGGCCCAGCCATTCCAGCGCCAGCTGGGTCCCCGGCCCAGGGGTCACACAGGAGCAACAAGCTGTCAAGGTGACTCCAGCTTCAGCCACCTTCTGACTACAACCCCAGGACAGACTCCGAAGGCGAGCCACCCCCTGAGCCACTCACAGACTCCTGACTCACGGACACCACAAGAATAAAGGCCATTGTTACTTTAGGTGGCTCGGTGCAGGCTGATCTGGTCTGTGGTTGTAGGAACTGAGTCAGGAGCCTGTTTGTTTTTGTTACTTGAGGCCATAAAGCACCTTAACCGCACGAGCTTGTTTTCTTCAAGCCAGACTCTACGGGATGCCTCCCCCCGCCTCCCCTCGCCTCCCTGCTCCCCACCAACTCGGCACCTCCCGACTCTACCTCTGCAGCTCAGCTCCATGCCATCCACCTTCCTCCAGCATCCCTGCCAGGGCCCGGCCAGCCCGTCATCACTACAGGTTGTGTGGTTCCGAGCTGGTCGCACAGCCCTGCCCTCTCGCACCCGTTCACCTCCCTCGTGGGCAGCCAGGAAGATACTTTAAAACTACAGAGTGCCTTCTGGCCCTTGAGTCCTCCCAACAAAAGACAAAAGCGAGACCATGGGTCCTTCGAAGGCCCTAGGTGACGGGGTCTGTGTCCCGGCCACCTCTCCAGGGCCCCTCCCCTCCAGCCCCACTTCCCCACTTCAGCTTCCTGTCCGTTCCTAGGACAGGCCTCAGGGCCTCTGCAAGTGCTCTTGCCTCAGCTGGCCTGCCCTTCCTTCTCTGAGAGATGAACTCCTTACCCACCTTTCAGTTCTTTGTTTAAAGAGGCCTCCCTGGCTCCCAACCCAAGTTATTCTCTCTTGAGCAGCTTGCTCTTTTCCTGCGAAATCGTGGAACGGGGCCCTTGTCGTTACTAGATTTGGTGTAGTTATTGAACGTCTGTCTCACCTCGCTGGTCTACAGGGCCCAAGAAGGCAGGGTCTCTTTTTCCCTCAATGCTTTATCCCCAGTGTCTGGCACATAGTAGGTGCTCAAGAAATGTCCGAATGTGAGGGAGTGGTTTTCCCGGAAATGACCACGGCTACGAGTAGGAAGCTCCCGCCTCACTTCCCATGGCGGCCGGGCTGCCCTCCCTCCTGGGCGCCCCGGGGCTCACCGTATTTCTTATTGAACAGATCCTGGACTTGCTCCCTCAGCGTGTTGGCGATGTCGATGCGCGAGAGTCTAGCGTCATAATTTTCTGCAAAGTGAAAAACAATTATGGATTGGGGCTGTTAAATTAAAAGGCACTTGGGGACTTTTGAGGAATATGATTTTCTAATGATGGGGAGCTCCTTCTCTGGCAATTATCAGATCCTCAGAGTGGGGCCCTCAGAGTCCTTCAGAAGGAACATCCAGGCAGAGATGTGTGTTTTTCCGGAAGGACCCACGCGGTTGTGACAACAGCCATGAGTGGGAAATTAATTGTTGACATTTGAAAACCACCCAAGCAGTCAATCAGCCCAGGTGGTGAGAGGCCCCATGACGGGGAGCAGGTTCTGGGGCTTTGATGGGGCCGGCGGGGAGGGCCACCCCTGGTTAGTCCCTCAGCCGGGGGGCGTCGGTAAAGGAGTCCACGTGCCAGCCCATGCCGTGGGGACCCCAGATGGGCCCCTGACCCCGAGAGACTGCAGCCTGGCACTGCCTGAGGAGAGAGAAAGGTGAGGGAGGGAGGGAGTGGACCTCTAGGCAGCTGGGGGTGGGGGGCGTGGTGAGGACCCCCATCTGCTGTAGGGCTGTGCATGAGGAGCCATGGGTGGGCTGAGCGCTGTGAGGACACCTCATTGTAGCCAGTTCCGGCTGCCCGGGGGGAGAGAGAGAGAGAGAGAGAGAGAGAGAGAGAGAGAGAAATGGGGCAGGGAGCAGCCCCCCTCCGGGATCTGGGTCCTATCTCTGGATGCCCCACTCCCTGGGCTGGCCCCTCCTGTCGCTGGTCTCGCTGACCTCTCTCTCTCTCCCCCCTCAGAGCCACAGGGACCAGCCAGGGGCCACCTGGGGAACAACCCGGCCTCGGGGATTCATGGCCACACCCTGGAGCTGTCCCCACACGCATGTGGGACTTCCTGCTTCCGTCTCTCCTGCCTGCCAAGCCGCTTGCTTTGGTTTCAAGCTTCTCCTACCTTCCATCCAGCTTTCTCCCTGCTCACTGCCTCTCGGCCCTTCCTGGCCCAGCCACAGTTCTCCTCCTCCACAGAAACCCCCGGCCCTCGGGGCCCTCGCCCTCCTTTGGCTTCAGGCATTGAGAAGACAGCTGACTGCCTGATATGGAGAGGGCCGGCTCCTGCACCCTGCTGCCCCGCACACCCTTATGGAGCCTCTTCTTCCTGCCCCACCTGACAGCCAGCCTCACACAGACCCCCAGGCCCTGACGTCAGGGGGCCAGCCCCTCCCACCCACAGCCTGGTCAACCAAGCCAGGTCAAGGTCATGGCACTGGGACAGCTGACCCCATCCTGAGCTGCAACCTTACCTTGGAAACCCTGTCTCTTCAGGCTCTCGTCCACAAGAGGGTCCCCGGAATCCCTCTCTGGGGGCGGGGGAGGGGGGAGAGAAGCCAGGGTGAGCAGCCAGCTCCTGGACCCCGGGACAGAGGTGGTATCTTTGGGGGGCGGGGAACCTGATAGGGAAGGCGGTGGGGGATGCTACGGGAGGTGGGACCAGGCCGGAGGAAGGATGAGGGACGGGGGCACAGAGCTGGGACCCCTCCCGCACCCGGCTGGCGCCTCAGCCCGTGACCCTGCGCGGGGTACCTTGGCTGTCCGTGATGGGCTCTTTGACTCCCTCGGTGAGCAGCTCGGGCCTGGAAAACACCACAGCAGGGCAGTTACTGAGGCCCCTCTGGCCCTCCTTGTACAGCCTCGTTCTGCACCAGAGCCTCCGTCTACACAGCTGAGCAACAGGCCCTCCCAGCTCTGGACAGCCCAGGTCTGGGGTCCCCGTCCCTTCCCCCCCGCCCCCCCCAAGTCCCTGCACCTGTCCTGCAGACCCACACCTGAGATCAGGGGGCTGTGCTGGGCTCTGAGGATCCAGCCCAGAGGGAGGGTGGCCCGACCCAGACCAAATGGAGGGGACACCGTCACTCGGTTCCGGGGTGCTTCCCACGGGGCCAGTCTGAAGCACAGAGAAGCAGCTGGGGCTGACCACGTGGCAAGGTCTCGGAGGGGCAGGGAAAGTCCGGGGTTTCTGGGGGACGTCTGAGAGCTGCCGTGGCACTCGGAGTCAGGGCCTTGGGGACCAACCCTCGCTTTGCACTCACGTCTGTATCTCGAGACCCCACAAAGCCCTTCCCAGATGTCGTGGAGCCCTCTCTGCATGCTGGAGGCGGGTACTGTTTCCACCGCCTCATTTACAGGATGAGGAGACAAGCACTGAGAAGGCGAGTAAGGGGCCCAAAGCCACACAGCGGGAAGGGGCAGGGGTCCATCAAGGCCCGTGCCCCCTCACCTGGCCACCTCTCCGGATACCCAGGTCCAGCTGCCAGAGAGGCACCAAGTCCTCATCCACTGGCCGCCTGACCTGGGTGGGGGGGCCGGGGGGGGATGCCCTGAGAGTCTGGCCTTTGGCCTCCCTTCTAGGCCAGGTCTCCTCCGTGCCACTGCTTGGCCACCCCCGTGACGGGGAGCTCATTACCTCTCCTGGCAGCCTCACCCACCCTGGTCCAGCACCCCTGCCCCATGATACCCTTGAGGAGATTTGAAGGAGTGGTTCCGCTACCTGTCCCACTCCATTGCCCCTGCCAGCCTGACCTCCCCAAGGCCCCCAGCTTGCCACACACTCCAGACCATGCCTCCCTCTCTTAAGCAGACAGGCTGCTACAGCTGGACAGATCTGTAGTGAAAACAGGGCATTCAGAGTCAGTGCTGTATAATAAAGAGTTTGGTCCTTGTCCTGGGTCCTGGGAGGTAACCTCTCATCTCTGGTATTTCTCGAGGGACAGGAATATCTGAGTTCCTATTCCTGGTAGGACGCTGGGATCACACCTGAGTTTATGCTAACGAGATGACTGAGGATTCTGGAAGACGGACCCTATGATCAGAGGACTGGGGCTTCGAGCCACCTGATACCCGCCCACCCTCCTGATTTCTAGGGAGGGGAGGGGGCTGCAGATGGAGCTCAGTCACACAGCCCTTGACCCAGTCAAGCACGAATCCCAGTAAAAATCGTGGGCACTGAAGCTCGGTGCTGGAGGGTGACATGTCCTGATATCATGGGGACCTTGGCTTTTGTGTCTATTTGGCTGGTCTTGATTAGTATAAAACTGTAATTGTAATACAGCCCTTTCCTGAGTTCTGTGAGGTTTTCTAGCTAATTATTGAGCCCCGGAGAGCCATGCGGAGCCCTGGACTTTGAGCCATTTGCTCAGAAGTGTAGGTGGCCTAGGGACCCCTGAACTTGCAGCTAGGGTCTGCTAATGCCGGGTGGTCAGTATTGGAACGCCCTGTAGCACTACATGAACCAGAACCTTCCACCTTGACTTCCGTGGGTAGCGGTCTCCTGTCTGTGTGAATCCACCCATGATTTTCAATTTCCAAAGGGTTTCTCAACTTTGGAGAATTGGATGAAAGCAAGGGACCCTCTGCCCAGAAGAAGGTATAGAAGAACATGTTTAGAAGGAGGTGGAGGTCAGGTGCAAGCAGAAAGAGTGACAATCAGTGAGTGATGTCTCCTGCAGGTGGTTTCTCATATATATAAACACGCAGCTAACCCTTGAACAACACGGGTTTGAACTGCACGGGTCCACTTATATGCACGTTTTCTTCGATACAGTACTGTAAATTTGTTTTCTCCTCTTTATATTTTCTCTTTATGTTTTCATTTTTCTAGCTTACTTTATTGTAATAATGCGGTATATTACATATATAACATAAAATACATGGTAATCACCTGTTTATGTTATTGGTAAGGCTTTTGGTGAACAGTAGGCTATTAGTAGTTATGGGTTTTTTTCTTCTTTCTTAAAGATTTATTTATTTATTTTAGGGGGGAGGGGCAGAGGGAGAGGGAGAATCTCAAGTAGATGACCTGTCAAGCGTGTAGCCTGGCATGGGGCTCGATCCCAGGACCCCGAGATCACGACCTGAACCAAAGGCAGATGCTTAACCAACTGAGCCACCCAGGCGTCCCTTATCTGCTTATAGTGATAATGTTACATTTGCTTCAGATCTAAGTAGCTAGGTTTTTGGGGAGTCAAAAGTTATACACAGGGGCTCAGAGGGGGGGGTCGGTACTCCTAACCCCCATATTGTTCAAGGGTCAACTCTCTGTTTTTATGGCCTGAACTGTGTCCCCTTCAAATTTCAAACTCCCTGACCCCCCCGCAGTACCTTGGAATGTGACTGTATTTGAAGAAGGGGTCTTTAAAGAGGTGGTTAAATTTCCATGAGGGCATCATGGGGGGCCCTCATCCCCTGCCTGGTGCCCTTATAAGAAGAGATTAGGTCACATGGAAAGAGACACCAGGGATGTGTGCACACGGAGAAAAGGCGACTCCGAGGCACAGTGAAGACAACAGGCCTCGGGAGAAACGAAACCTGCCAGCACCTTGACCTTGGACTTCCAGCCCCCAGAACGGTGAGAAATAAATTTCTGCTGTGTCAGCCGCACCCCCCCATCTGTGATGTTATGTTATGGCAACTCCAGCAGACCAATATGCACATACACACAAATATACAGAAGATAAATATGGATGCTCTATTGAGATGGAACTTACATGCCATAAAATTCACTTTCAAAGTACGCCAATCCGGGCGCCTGGGTGGCTCAGTTGGTTAAGCGACTGCCTTCGGCTCAGGTCATGATCCTGGAGTCCTGGGATCGAGTCCCGCATCGGGCTCCCTGCTCAGCGGGGAGTCTGCTTCTCCCTCTGACCCTCACCCCTCTCAGTCTGTCATTCTCTCTCTCTCAAAAGTAAATAAAATTTAAAAAAGAAAAAAAAGGGCGCCTGGGTGGCTCAGTTGGTTAAGCGACTGCCTTCGGCTCAGGTCATGATCCTGGAGTCCCGGGATCGAGTCCCGCATCGGGCTCCCTGCTCAGCGGGGAGTCTGCTTCTCCCTCTGACCCTCTTCCCTCTCGTGCTCTCTATCTCTCATTCTCTCTCTCTCTCAAATAAATAAATAAATAAATAAAATAAAAATCTTAAAAAAAAAGGACGCCAATCCGTGGTTTTTAGCGTGTTCATGAAATCATTGATACAGCTGTACTTCTACCTGATTCCAGAACATTTACATCACCCCGCCCCAAAGGCACCCTTCTCTAAAGTAAGATCAATGACAAGTGGCTCTTTCATGCTTCATATACCCAACAGTATTTTCTGATTTTTATTTTATTTTTTTTCCTGCTGCTTTTTAAAATGAGAAATGACAAAATAAATAGACTAAGGGCTCAATCTCTCAGGATCACCCAGCGAGGCCGCCCCCGAATGCTGCGCCCGGCAAAGCTCATCACGCGGAGAGTCCTATTCTTTGCTTGGCTTTCAGGAAACTGGAATCAGTTAAACTTACTTTTTAAAACGGATATGTTTCTAAAGACACAAAATCCAAATCCAGGCAACCACATGAATGAATCTCAAAAGCTAAATGAAAGGAGCCAACTCAAAAGGCAGCCACCGAATCACTGTACTTGTAGGATGTTCTGGAAAAGGCAAAACGATGACAGAAGACACATCGGCGGTCGCCAAGGGCTAGGGTGGCCCACAAAGGGACACAAGGGAAGGTTTCGGGGTGATAGGACTGTCCCGTATCTTGATGGTGGTGGTGGTTATATGACATATGAGCTTGCCAAAGTTCAAAGGAGTATACACCTAAAAATGGTGAATTTTGCTCTATGTCATTAAACTCCAATAAACCTGACGTTAGGAAAAAAAAAACAACAAACCCATCTCAATCGAGTACTGAGCGTGCCAGCCCTTCGCTGAGCCTCGACTTCCACTGCCACTCTGGGAAGTGGTACGGTGCTTCCTGTTTAACACCCTGGAGCAAGCTGCCCAAGGTCACGGGGAGGAGCGGGAGGTCCGGACTCAGACCCAGGAGCTGGTCTCTCAAGTCTGACAGAGAGCCACCAGGCTAACCCACCTCCCTTTCTAAGTATGAAGCGGCGTGAGAAAATGCTCGTGAGCACAGGAGACTGAGAAGCTGTGTCTGCACTGAACAATGAGAAAGGTCAGCTTGTGAGGATGTGCCGTGAACTTGGCTCCTCCCGCTGAGCCGCCCAAGTGCTTCTGGTTCTCCGTCTGGAGGATGGATGTGGCAGGCGGCCGCCCTGTGGCACGTCCCTCCTGAATCAGGACATTCAGGACATTTAGCTCCCGACATCCTGTCCCCACCCCACCCTCTCCCCTGAGCAGGGGGTGAGTCCCGTTTTCCACCTGCCACCACCCTGTGTCCGGGGCCAGAGCAAAGCCTTCTTGCTGGTCCCTGCTTCCGCCCCTGCCCACAGCCCCCAGGTCCCTTTCTACCTCACAGCTGGAGGAAAAAAAATAAAGACCAGATCATGTCATAATCTCCTCGGAATCTTCCAGTGAGTTTTCATCCAATGTAAAATAAAATCCGAACTCTTTAAGGCAGGCCAGGACCATGCATGACCCGGCCCCTGCTCCCTCCTAGGCTTTACCACCCTTCCCTCGCTCACTGTGTGCGGCCACACCGGCGTGTCACTGGTGTTCAAACACGCAAGCATGCCCCTGCCCCGGGGCCTTTGCACCTGCTCTTCCCTCTGCCTGAACGCTCTCCCACCAGATATCGGCATGCCTCGCTTCCTTAGATAGATTCCTCCTGCCCCTCTCTGCCCCCAGACCCTAGGTCCTAGCATTTATCTCTACCTGACATTAGATGGTAGTTTTAGTCAATGAGACTGGCCAACTCGAGGGCAGACCTCGGCATGAGCTGCTTCTCACAGCCTAGCCCGCAGTTGGCACTCAGATGTATTTGCCGAAGGAAGGAACCACATGTGCATTATTTGTGTCTCTTGGAGTACCCCCCTCCTCGTTCCTCCTGGTGCAAACCAGGCCACCGTGGGAGAGCACCCTGCCCCACGCCCCATCACCCGCCATGAAGGATGCCATGAATCTCCCAATTTGGGGGCCACCTACTCCCCTAGGGGGAGCAAACCCTTAGGACTCTCCTCTTTGTCACTTTCAAGCAAACCAAGCCTAAACTGACATAATAGTATCAAACAGTAGCAACAAACAGGTCACCCCAGCACCCCCCCCACCAGCCTCAAATCAATAGCTGCCTCCATCTTTTCCACAGGGACTGTATGTCTGAGCTGGGCTCATGGGCGGGATATGCGGAGCTCCACTGGGCCCTCAAAGACAAAAACGAGATGCCCAGGGAAACAGAAAGGACCCGCCACCCCCATATTTTCCAACCCTGGGACAATGGGCCACTGCCCTCGGCAGCGCCCTGATGCCCCCGACCCAGGATACCAACACACGCCCAGAGAATGTGCAGAACGGTCCAGGAAAGGAAGCCGGCGGGCAGATTCCCACTGCACATGGAGACAAACAGGCGGGTTGCTTCGGGTCTGGCAGGCCCGGGCAGGGTCTGGGCAACCTTCCGCCTGCCCAACTGTGGCCAAACCTTATCTAACGCCCCACTGTGTCCAAACAACAAAAAAGCCTGCCCTGATCTGAAGACGAAGATGGCACTCTGGCACCACTCCCAGGCGCCGGGCCAGCCTGGAGGGGCCCCCTGTGGACACGGCCAAGCCTTACCTCTTGATGACAAACTGGATGCTGTTGCTGGCCTCCAGGATCTTCCGGAGCTTGGCGATCCCGAAGCAGTTGGGCCTGCGGAGGGAGATGCCTTCAGGCAGCCCCACCACAAACAGCTCCTCAGGGTACATCAGGAACTTGGAGTAGGGCACCTTGACGGGCTCCGAGATGCCAATGGCCTTGGCTGCAGAGACATGGCTGCTGTAGGGCCATCCAGGGCTATGGGGGCACGAGCCCCGGCTCTAGCCTCCCGCGTCTGTGCAGGGCCGCGGGGGGGTGCATGTGCCAGGGCTCTCTTGAGAGTCAGTGCTTAGTTGACCCCCCAACCGTCCTGAGAGGTGGGTACCGTGACCCCAGTCTGCAGGTAAGAGACCAGGAGCTCAGAGGGGCACAGGACTCAGGTAGCGGAGCCCAGAGCTGGGGGATGCGAACCCGAGTCAGTGGGACCCCCAAACCCTCGTAGCCAGGCAGTGCACAAGAAACCACCGATGGCTGGTGAGACCTGGTTTTGGCTCCGCCCAAGCCCACTTATCCCTGGGCTGCCAGAAAGGACTTCCAGAGAGCCCCCCGTTATCCATACATAACTCCCAAACTCTGGGTGGCCCAACCCCACGCCTTGGGAATAGGACAGGTTGGAGGCCCAGGCTGGGCACTGCCACTCACACTCGGACAAGCCATATCATTTCCCCAAGCCTCATGTCTCCTCGTCTGTCAAATGGGTACAAGGACACAGGGGTTTTGTGAGATGGGAGAACTTGGCATGAAGCCCCTGGGCAGTGCCCGGCAAACCACTGGGGCCTAATAAAAGAACAGCCTCCCCTGCCTCCTGGCCCCCGCCCCATCCTCTTTCCCGGACTCTCGAGTAGGAAAGGTCTTGCTGTTGTGTGTGTCCTCCCGAGGACCCCGAATGAGGGTGTCCGTGAGGATGGAGGAGCGATTCCGGCGGTGGGCAGAGCGGGCTCTCCAACCTGAGGCCGAGGCCGACCGGGAGCGGGCAGGTGATGGAGAAGGCAACAGGGGCCACGTTGCGGCGGGGTGGGGGGTTCCCTGGGTGTCCCCATCCCCTTCCCAGTGGGCCCTGGCCCCTCCGTCCCCCCCCCGCCTCGTGCCAGAGCAGGGAGCGGCGGGGGCCCCACGTCCCTCTGCAAGCAGGGCAGCTAGAGGGAGGGCGAGCTGCCCAGGGCCCCGGCCGGCTCCTGGCTCACCGTATCGCGTGTTGAAGAGAAGCTCCACCTGCTTCCGCAGGGGCCGGATCACGTCACCGTGGCTGTCTGGAAGGCAAAAGGCAGCCTGTTGGGCCTCCCCAGAGGCAGCAGCACCCCGCTTCTCAGCTCATGTCCCAGCTCTGCCGGCACCAAGAATGACCCTGCGTTGGGACCTTGGAATGGGGGAAGGCCGGGGTCGTGGTGGTAGCAGCTAACCTATTTTCTCAGAAATGGCACCCGCAGACGGGTCTGCAATTCCTGAACTTAGTATGTCTGCTTCTAAAATCAGGTCTAAGGTATCACCAGGCCTGAATGAAGATTTGGAAGATTTTGCAGCCTAAGAACGACCACAGATCTTTCAAAGTGTGTGTCATTCTAGACCAGCTCAGGAAGTGACTTAGCTAGTGGGTGAGTGGTAAGCCGGCAAATTGAGTACGCTGCCACCAGGTGGCAGTGGACTTTTCTACCCCCACCCCAGGTCAGGCTGGGTTTAGGGCAAGGACCCTTCTCTCCTCACACACCCTCTCACATTCCATTCCAGGGGCAGCTACTCCCAAGAGGAAACAGACCCATCCCCACTTTGATCTCTCGTCCTGCACAACTCTCACTCAGCAGGAAGGGAATGAGCGGTGTTCCTGAGAATGAGCAGGTCTGTTGGACACAAAGCCAATTTTGTGCTTCCCGGCCTCAATACTACTTGCTCAGACTCCAGACTTAAAACCTCTGTGAAAGAAGCAGGCTATGTATAAACACAAAGATTGACAATGCTCTGCATTTCCCTTACCAGAAAGAGCTGCTTGTACCTCTGATCAGGTACCTCCTAGTTCTAGAAGACAGGTCTGTAAACCTCCTCCCAGGACCCCCGCCTCCAAACGGGGTGTTGGGGAGAGATGGGGTGGAGAGAACCAGAGACAATAGGGAGAGGAAGGGTGGGGGAGGGGAGGGGAGATGGGGTGATGGGCTGAAAGGTGGGAGGTGGACAGCGCCTCACCCTCTACGGGCCTCTCCTCGGGCCGCGGGTCCTCGCTGGGGCCTTTCTCTGAAAGAGAAGAGAGGGTGCCAGGAAGCCACAAGCACCATCTCCCCAGGAACGTCAGGCCAGACAAGGGGGGTGCAGCAGGCTGACTCTGGAGCAGAGCATGGTGACCCCCCGGATGGGATCAGGGACCTCGATCCTGTACAGGCAACCCACCCTCGTCTTCACACAAGAAGGCCAAGTTCAGAGCCAGGTGTCGGAGCACATTCGGTTCGCACCGTCTGGAGACCAGACCCACGTCGGTCGGTCCTTCTTTCCGTGTGCTAGGTTCTGCTCTAGGCACTAGGACACGCGGGGACAAGACAAGGCCCTGTCCTCCTGCTGTGACACCAGCTCAAACACAGGCCAGTGAGCAGGGATGCCGTGAAGAAAGATGGTTGGGTAAGGGGAGGGCAGGTGGGGGCGCGTGGAGCTACCCCAGGTCAGGTGGTCCACGGGGCTCTCTGATGAGATGGCACTGATCCTCGCCTAAGCTCACAGCCACAGACCTAGTCGTCCCCAGCCAGCCAGGATGTGGCGCGTCAACTGGGGAGTGCAGATGCTGTATGGGGGTGGGGGACCCTGCCGGCCTGGGGGGGGTGGAGAGGAGGGGAGCACCTGGGCCGAAGATGAGAGTCTAGGAAAAGCTGGAGGGAGAGGGACACAGGCAGGGAGGGAGCAGAAGCAGCGTGGGGGATGGTGGCAAACTGAGGTTCTGGCTGGGGGAGGAAGGAAGTAGGTGCACGCGGACACTGGGACTGGGGTGCAGGGTTGGGGACAGCCATGCTGCGGGGCCTCCCTCTGCAGCACCCCTTCATTACGAGGGCTGGAGCCAGGAAGGCATCAAGGGCTGGTCAGTACTTGTAACAAGTGGAAGGAGGCTGTAATTTGGGAAGCTCGCGGGCGCTGTGGCGCCAGGTGCTTTGACATGCAGGACTAAGCCTCCAAGGGCCTGTGTCGGCCCACAATGTGCAGCCGAGCTGGAGAGCGGCGGAACTGGTGGAGCCCGGGTCTGCCGGACTCCTGGCCAGCGCCCGTCTGCTCTCCCGCCGGCTCCTGGAGGGAGCACGTGGGGACAAGGCAGACCAGGGCACGGTCCCCTGTCCCCAGGTGGGAATGGTGAGCTGGAAGGAAGGGGCCGGTCCCGGGAGAGCTGCCAAGAGTCCAAATTCGCTGAGGCTGGAGGGAAAGGTGAGCCTGCACCTGGGATCACCAGACAAGCCCGAGGCTTGGGGCTCAGCGTGGAAGGCGCTGGAAGGTTCTGGAGGGTTGCACCTATGCTCAGCCGACTTGAAAAGGTTGAGGGCCAGCCCTGGGCCGCAGGCCTCAACCTTCCTCAGGGAAATGCGCTCACTGTGGGCAGTGGATGCTGGGCCCTCCTGGACTCGGCTTGAAGGCTTTCCCTCTGGCTGCAGTAGCAGCCCCAGCAAGCTGGGGGAAGCAGAACTGCCTGGAAACACCTCTCAGGCAACGACGTAGAGCCATTGGAGGATCACTATCTCAGCTCCCTCCCTACTCGGCTGCCGACCTAGGGCGTGTGGTTTACGTGGCTCTCATGTCCCCTGGCTCAGCTGTCCGCAGCGGTAACGGACCTGGTGACACTCCTGCACTGTCCCTGTCCCACCTCCCACCCCACGTTGGTGTGCCTCGATTTCCTCCCAGGCAAGCAAGCAGAGCCCCATCTCACAGCCAGCTTCTGGAAGGTCCTACTAATCCACTGCATTTTTGCCATTTCCAGATGAAGGGGGGGGGGCAGTCAGGGAGAGAGGAGTTTGGTGGGACCCGCAGGGCCACCAGGGAGTTTTCCGGGGCAGGGACCTGTGACAAGGGGTCAGGTAATGGTCAGTCCCAGGGGAAGGGAACTGCCCAAGTGTCACACCTGGAGCACTAATTAAGGTTACAAGGTGGCCTGGAGGGACATGAGGGGGGAGACGTGGCCAGGGAGTCTGTCCCTGCCGTGAGCTGGCCATGTGCCATCGTCCTGGGAGTAGCAACAAGGAGTCAAGGTCCATCTGGAGCCCGTGCAGGAGAGGACCCGCCCTCGCCGTCCAACGGATCCAGGTATCCTCAGCCCCACTAAGGAGGGGCTTCTGTTGGGCTGGGGCCACTCCTGGGGGGCTGTGACCCGTCTGCTTTGGAGTCCCAAATTCCAAACATGGGGAGCTCACCAGATACTCCACCCAGGTGTTGGGGGCTGGGCTATTTACCCTGAATGAGCCCCCCCGCAACTGGCTCACTGTGCCCCCGTTTTCAACTGTGAATAACTGGCGACACCCCCCAGATATGATCAAGGACATGCGAACTATCCCAGCACTCTAGAGATGTCCAAGGCACCAGGTAAGGGAGGGAGGGACAACCTGTGCAAAATCGTAGCCACACGCATACACACACATGCAGAAAAAGGACATATGAAGGACCCGAGGAGGGGGCAGGGGAGCTCCTCCTGTCCGGGGCATAGAACTCTGCATCATTTATCATGCACACGTGTCAGCAGAAAAAGCACACGCACAGGGACACACGGACACACACACCCCGTTCTAAACCACGGTGGTCCTGAGGACCTCGCAATCTTCCCACTTCGTCGGTTTTGAGTGGGGTGCTTGGAAAGGCACCTCGGACGGGCAGTCAACAAACCTGAGCTCCAGCCCAAGGCTGGGTGCCCCTGGGCAGGTGGACTGGCCCGGCTGGACCTCAGGTTCCCACCCTCTGTCACGCCAAAGAGGAGAAGCCATTCCGATAGGCCCACTGGCCCACGGCCGCCCAGCCCCCTGGGGTCCAGACGGAGATGGATACCCACGGTCTTCTCTAACGGCACTGTGACCACAGCCCGGTACCCTGTGACCTTGGGGGCCAGGCCCCTCTGCCAGCTCATCCTGAGCCGCGGGTCACCTGAATGCCCACCCCCCTCCCCAGTGTCTCCAGAGACTGTTGTCAAGTCTGGTCCTGCCCAGCCCGTCCAGAATAGTCTTTCTTCACGACCAAGCTATTAAAAGCCCATCCCGACTGGCTGAGGAAATGAAAAAGATAGACCACTTAACCTCGCATAGCTACTGTTCCAGCAGTTTCTTCCTTGTTGTTTGTTTAACCAGTGATTATGTTTTCAACAGTTGCAAACAGAGCAGCCTTGTGCCTTCCGTGCTCCCCCCTCGCGGCTTATTTTTGGTGGCTGCTGACAGTCCATCAGGAGGATGCCACCAACAGGTCCCCGCCAGTTGGGCTGGCTCTTTCCAGTTCCTTCTTTATCAGTAACATGGCCACGAACATCCCCGTGTGGAAGACGCTGTCCGTGTTTCAGATCACTTCCTAGGACCGGAACGTGGGAACCCCCAGGGGGTGCTTGTTTTGACAGCTCGTCAAGCTGACCAATCTCCTGAGAAGGCAACTTGGCAAGCTGCATCCCTACCGGCACCAGAGGGGCACCCATTTCCCAACATGCTCAACAAAGGTTCCGCCCGATTAAGGGGTGCAGAAGAGATGTCCCCTTTCTGTTTCCCTGAGGCTGCGCGTGTTTGTGTTGCTTGCTGTCTCTTTTTTTGCGTGCGATCAACTATCCGAGCTGCAGCGGACACTGGGATGCACCACTCGGGTCCCCTTCCAGGGGCGACTCCCGTCCCACGACTGATTGAGGATACCCAGGCCAACTCTGGGCTGATTGAGGGTAGCCCAGGCCATTCTGGCCGCGGAGCTTCCCATGGGGCCGGCAGAGGCCGTCGGTGGGGCCGCATCATGCCTCCGCTTCCCTCCCGGCCCCCCACGCTCCCACCCCCTTTCTTACTTAACTGCTGAGCCCAAGGGCAGCCCCTAATAACCCCCCGCCCATTAAACACCAGCTTGGGGTCTGTTCCCTGGGGTCCACCACCCATGTGACATGTGTCCTTGGGCTGTGAGTTTTCCCTGTGGGTTCCGGCCCAGGGTTCTGGTCTCTGAAGGCCACGGGGAACGTCATTCCCGGGGACACTGCCCGTCCTGTCCCGAGGCACCTGCCAACTGTGTAATCTTACTGCCTGAACTACCTTTGCCTGACTGATAAATACGAGAGGAAGGACCGAGCCCCCAGGACACAGTGGGAAAGCTCCCCCAGGAGGAGGCTGGGGTCCCTGGGCTGCCCCGCTTCCCCAGCTGGCCTGCCACTGGCCCCAGATCCTGGTGTCCCATGAGCTGACTAATCAATGAACCCACACTGGGTCCCTTCTCACGGTTCAGTCATCCACGTGGAAATGGGCTCCAGAACCGAGCCCGGGACGGGCACGTGCTCGACCTGTCTGTGGTTTGGACAAATAGTCTGGACGTCTGTTTTCCATGGCCGGTTCGTCTTCTGTCCCCCATGACCCTGCTCCAGTGCTGTGGACCGGGGATCTTTGGGATTATCTGCCTGGGATCTGACTCCTCAGAAGCTGGAGCCAGACAGGCGCCCACAGCCTGCAGCTCTGCAGACCCTGCGTGTCGCCCCACTGAGCGCGACTCCCGGGTCCTCTTCCCCGCTCCTGTTTCCAGACCCATTCTCCCTGACAGAGAAGACAGAAGCCGACGAGGGGCAGAGATGTTCTGCTTTAATTCTGTCACCAATGAACACGGCACCACCCACCTGGGCCTGCAGGAAACCTTGTTTTTCCAGTCATGTGTCTATTTTTGGTCGGGGGGGGTGTGGTGGGGAAATTTCTCAAGTGCCGCAAAGCACGCAGAATATAATAAACACCCATGTGCCCACCAGCCGGAATGAGTATGTTAGCATTTTGTCATTTTTGCACCTGATTTTTTAATAAAACATTAAACAACGCTGTTTTTTTGGAATTTTGAAACGTTTCCAAACTTACATAAAATGCTGTGTCATCCATACCTTTCTGCAGTTGCTTTTCATGTTGAACGTTCCATTTCTCAGACCTCTTTGCCCCGTTTATTTATTTAATTTTACTGTTTTCAAGTAATCTCTATGCCCCACATGGGGCTCGAACTCATGACCCCGAGATCAAGAGTCGCACGCTCCACTAACTGAGCCAGCCAGGTGCCCCTGCGCTGGTCATTTAAATGCCACCTGCTATATATGCTTTTGTATGGTATCCTTCCGGCACCCCGGCCTTCCACTCCCAATCAAGCCCACACCAGATAATGCACACACGGGAAACACACAAAAGACAGTCCAGTCCCCTTCTTCGCGTTTCATGGCCTGGCCCTGCATCTTGTATTACAAAGCTTTCTAAATTTTAACTATTTGAGTACTAACATCATTTTCTAGCCTCTCTGTGAATCTTGTGTCCTATACTTAACATGCCATTTGTCTTTGTGATAACCAACTTCTAAAAAACTTCACCTAGGGGCGCCTGGGTGGCTCAGTCAGCTGAGTGTCCAACTTTTGATTTTTGGTTTAGATCAGGATCTCAGGGTCCTGGGATCGAGCCCCGTGAGTCTGCTTGGAACCCTCTCCCCCTCCGTCTTCCTCTGCCCCTCCCTGCACTCTTGTTCACTCTCTCTCTCTCTCTTTTTTTTTTAACAGTTGAGCACATAGTTTTTTCTTTTTTTTTTTAAAGATTTTATTTATTTATTTGAGAGAGAGAGAATGAGAGATAGAGAGCACGAGAAGGGAGAGGGTCAGAGGGAGAAGCAGACTCTACACGGAGCACGGAGCCTGATGCGGGACTCGATCCCGGGACTCCAGGATCATGACCTGAGCCGAAGGCAGTCGCTTAACCAACTGAGCCACCCAGGCGCCCTCAATCTTTTTTTTTTTTTTTTTAGATTTTAATGATTTTACTTACTTATTTGACAGAGAGAGAGAGAGGGAACACAAGCAGGGGGGAGTGGGAGAGGGAGAAGCAGACTTCCCGACGTGGGGCTCGATCCCAGGATCCTCAGATCATGCCCTGAGCCAAAGGCAGACACTTAATGACTGAGCCACCCAGGCGCCCCTCAAATAAATGCTCTTTAAAAAAAAAAGAAAGAACTTTACCTATAGTAATTCTTGCTTTTACTATCCATAATAAATACAGATCATCTGTTGATAATGGTTGGAGATGGGAGGTGGGCGCACGAGATTCATTAAACTACTGTTTTCAATTTTGCATGTTTTTGAACATTTCCAAAATGAAATTGAAAACACAAAACCTATACAGCCCCGTCCCCGCCTTGCTGCTATCTACCTGCCAGACCAGTCCTCTTGGCTAGGATATTGTAATAGTCTGTTTCTGTCTTTGTCCTCATTTCCCTGCATTTTATCCTCAACCCTGTGGTCAGAGTAAACACTGTTAGAATGTCCCTCGTTAGCTCCAACCACCCCCCATGAGGAGGTTTCTGTCTCCTCAGAGTCAAGCCTCCACTCTTTCCTTTGACATACTTGCCCTGCACAACCCACACCATCACCTACCTCCCTGACCTCACCCTCCCCACCTCACTCTGCACCAGCCACCTGGGCCGCCTTGCTTCTCCTTGAACATGCTGAGCATAACCCACCTCAGGGCCTTGGCACATGCTATTCCCGCCACCTGAAAAGCTCTTTCCTGACATCCAATGGCTCCCACCTCCTTCAGGTCTTTGCTCCAAAGTCACTTTCTCAGTGAGGTCCTCTCTGACCGCCCAAGTCCTGTAATAACCACCGCACCCCTGCCCCTCACACCTCCCCCTTCTGGCTTTGTGCCCCCCCAGTGCACTTACCACCCTCTGACTTTCTATTTTACCTAGTGATTTGCTTACTCTCTGTCTCCCTGCACTAGGAACACAGGCACCTTGGTGTGTTTGGTATACTGCTCTGTCCCCAGCACCTCGCACGGGACCTCCTGGTACATAGCAGATGCTCAGTAAATAGTTGTTGAACAAATGAACAAGTTAATTGACATGGGGGCTCGTGGGAAAGATGTAGAAGCCAGACTTAATATAAACCAAGGCCGACTTCAAGTTTCCAGAGAGGAACCTAGCCCGTACAGGGAGTCAGACACACACTGGCTTTCCTCTGGGGGGCTTCCTGGCCCACCCTTCTCCCCGTTATGCCCCAAGGAGGTGGGTCCCCAGCCCATTTCTTACCAGTCAGCATCTCCATCCCGTAACCAGAATCTTCTGAGGGCAGATGCCCAGGCATTGAGTCTGTCATCTCCTCAGAGGTGGGCGATGGGTCTGGAGACAAAAGGACAGGAGCATCTTCTGCTTGTCCCACACTGTCACAGTCCCTTGGGGACCCCCAGCCCCGCATGCCCGCAGAGCAAGACCCTTAAGGAAGCCGTGCCCCGGAACTCTGGGAGGACAGCTTTAGTGACCAGTTGTGCTAGATGCCAGGTGGGAGCCTGAGGTGGGGGAAACCCCACACGGAGCCTCCAGAGACCATGTACACCCTCTTTTTCACAGATGTGGAGACAGAGGCTCAGGGGCTTCGAAGTCTGGAGTCAGACTCAGACCCTCCTACCCCATACCTTTTCTTCTCCTCCCTCCTGCCTTATAAATCCCAGGGGAGCCAGACCTGAGCGGGGAGGCCTGGAGGGCGGGGGGGGACCTTTAGGAAGACCAGAGCCGAGAGACAGGCTTGTCAGCGTAGAGGGGAGACCCAGCTGCAGAAAGTGCATGCCATATACCCCACTGGAGGGGTATATGGGATCAAAACTAGAGAAACAATGGCCTGGAGACCCCTTCCTGGCCCTCGGGAGACAGAGGGGATAGCCTAGGAGGGGAAACAGTACTTCTGGCCGGTCCAGGAGTGGGAACTGCTTGATTCCTGGAGGTTCATGTGGGGCAGCAGGGCAGCCCTTCAGACACCTGTCCCTTACCTGGGACGGTGACCTGAATAATATCTAGATCCTCTGGCTCAATTTTAATGGGCCTCAGCCCACTCAGCTCCCCAGAAGTTCCTGCGAGGAGGGAATGAGGGATCCAGTTAGGTGTGGGCCTGAGCTTGGCTGGGAGAGGCAAACCACTCTAGAACATTCTTATGTCTGTGCCTAGTTAGTAATGCCCTGGGAACAGTCATGCCGGCCTCGAGCTCCTGCCCAGCCCAGGAGTGGAGGGTCATCATGCAGGTCCTGAGTCCCATCCTGGTATCTCCAATTTATAGGCCTGGTTACGGAAGCCCACAGAGGGAAGCCACTTGCTGCGGACACCCTGGGAAACAGTGGTGATGCCGGAAGCCGGAAGCCATCCCGACTCCCCCATAATGCCACCTACATCCCACCAGCCCCTCCAGCCTCCCAGTGAGCTCCCAGCATGCTCTGAGGCCTGGGGGGTGGGGGGCAGGGATGGGCAGGGTAGCTCATTAGTATTCCAGGCTCATGGGCTGAGCTTGCCTCCCTCCTCCCCAAGGCTGCTGGGAGGGGAGACAGGGGGGTGCTGGTGGACACCCGCTCACCCCAGGACACACACAGTGGGGTCCTGCTCCTCCTCACCTGGCCCACAGTCTTCAGAGACACCATTCTTGTCTGACCTGTGGGAAGGAAGGAAGCCAAGAAACGACACGGCATCAGCCCTAGCTCTCCCCTCAGGTGGGAGCCCACAGTGGCTGCCAACTCCACACCCCCAACCACATTCACTCCCATCCCCACAGGGCAGTCCTCCCTATGGGAGAGAGGCCCAGTGCAGGGTCCCCCGGGACAGCGATCACCTGCCACCCTAGCCAAGATGCTGCTCCCTACCCTGGGGTGAACGGTCTGGGCGTCCACCTTCCCCACCAGCTGGGAGCTCCCAAGGCCTGGCTCGGGCCAGTATGGGAGCCCCACAACTTAGCACAGTGAGGTTCCATCAGCGCTTGCTGGGGGGATTGAGAGCTGAGGGACCACCAGCCTGGAGAGGGTACAGAGGTCTGGGAAGCAAAGATGGGCAGGGCCCCTGGATGGATGATTCAGTGAATTCACGGAGCACTGTGGGGAAGGCCTGGGCTGGACATGGTGGTTCTGGAATGAACGAGCCATCCCTGGCCGCCAAGGGCCCAGAGCCTGGGTGGGTGGCACTGGTGGACGGTGGTGACCAGGCCATGAGCTGAGGGCAGGGCCTTGTAGACACGCAGGGCAGATGCCTGACCTAGTCTGGGTGCCAGGGAAGGCTTCTGAGAGACCAGGCAACCTCTGGCTAGATCCTGAGCGGGGCCAAGAGCTCTCCAGGTGGAAAAAAATCGGCAGAGTCTCTGTTCTCCTCTGTCCCTTCGGATTCTCCCTGGCTCACAGCGGGGTGAGGACACAAGGGTGTGTGTGTGTATGTGTGTAGGTGTCAGGAGCTGCTGGGCACGGCATCCTCTGGCCAGCCCCAGGCCTTGCACCCCCACCCCCCACCCGCAGGTAACACCGCCAGACCGGAGCTGGGGAGGCGGTAGGCCAGGAGCTGGCGTGGGGCCTTACCGAGCAGTCCCGGGCAGGTCGAGGACAGATGCACGGGAGATCTCTGTAGAGGTATCCTCTGGCGGGCTGGCTGGCTCCAGCTTCGTGGGGTCTTTGGTAAACTTGTTCCCTGGGCGGAGAGGTGGGGACAGGTCAGGGCCAAGGCCCTCTAGGCTCCTGCCTGCCCATCGGGCACCTGGGCAGTGGCCTGTGCAAGGCCCTTGGCGGCACCCCTTGCATATGGTCCGGGCTCTACCAAGCCAGGAATGGGTCCTGGGTAGAGAAGGAACATAGGCCCCGGGGCCAGAGGATGCCAGGGATCTGGGAGGATTGCAGGAGGAAGGAGCGGCCAGAAATAACTGTCCCAGCCTCACAGTCACTACTAACGCTGAGGGCGCCCTTGGGAAAGAGGCCAAGTGGCCCCCAAGGCCGGACTACAAAACCATTCTCTCATATAATTATCCCAAGAACTCAGAGGAAGATGCTTATTACCTGCCCCCATTTCACAGATGTGGAAACTGAGGCCCATAGGATCCTGGCCAAGGTCACAAAGCTGGTGGGAAGGAGGGCCAGAACCAGGACCCAGCTCTGTCGCACCCCAAGATCTGTGTTCCCTTTGCTGCACCAGGCAGAGCCCGACTCTCCCTCCTGGGAGGCATGCTGCCCACTGGTTGGCGCCCCTGCGCCCTGGGTTTGCGGCCAGACCTCACAGCTGACCAGCTGGGCTTCAGGGAAAAGAGCAGAACCCACTTCATAGGAATGTTCAACGGGAAATTAAAGTAAAACTGAATATGCTAACAGCTTAGGAGAGCACCTGACACGTGCAGGTGTTCCCTACACATTAGCTTTACTACTCCCGAGGGGCTGTCTGCGCCTGGGAGCTGTGGGCTGTGTCTACCCCGAGGTGGACACCGTACCCAGGCTCCCTCCCCGGCCCGGGGCCCCGTGGGATAGCAGCACTTACTCGGCAGCTTCAGAACGGACTAGCCGGTCCCCACACGTACCTGTGAAAATTCGCTCATCAAACATCCTGGGGAGAGAGGAGAGACCGGCGTGAGGGCAATGTAGGCCCGGGGGCCCCCCAGGTTCAGGGACAGGCCTCCATGCAGACCATGGACTGGAGGAGGAGCGGCTGGGGGCCTGCGGCCAGTCAAGACCCCGGCATCACCCTGCTCAGCCTGGAAGTCTGGGCCAGGAACAGGAGGGCAGAGGGAAGGTCGGCGTGGAAGCTGGGGTCACCCACCCCTCCACCTCCGGGGGGGCCTGGTGTTCTTTCTGTTCCACCCCAGCCCCCCCACCCCACCTTAGTGGTACCCAGAGGGTTGGGGAGCTGCCGGTAGCTGGCATACAGGCTCTGCGGGACCCCCAGACCAGCCTGGACCCCAGAACCAAACGATGCCCAAGGCGGGCCCAGCGGGAAATTCAAACACAGGCTGAAGTGTGGGAGGCAGAGCTTGGCTCCCCCGCTGCTCCTGGGGGCCCATGTTTATCTGGGGCCCATGAGGCTGAGAAGCAGTCACAGGAGCGACTCTGGGGAAAACCGACTTTCTCTCTGAGACCTGCCTCCTCATGCCCACCTTGGGGATGGGGAAGCTGCCGGCCGGGACTCTGGTTTTATCACCAACAATGTTACCTATTTATCAGCGAGCCCGAGGGGCAGGGGCTCAAGGGATAGCACGGGGCCTGCCCGGGTTCCTGGGTGGGACTGGCAGGCAGATGACAGAGAAGTCAGATGTGGCTCCGGGCCTGTGACAGACACCCTCACGGGCTGCCCGGCCTTGGAGGCCCGCTTGACGGGCGCTGACCAGGCTTGCTGTCCATCTTTGGAACACAGCCCCGACTTCTAGGATCCCCTCCAGACACTCTTCCCCCGTAAGTCCTGCCTCAGGTGGAACCGACGTGTCTGTCCCTCAGGCGGAAACTTGGATCCTCTCGCTGGGGGGGCTGGTGTCCTGGTGGGAACTGGGGTTTTGGAGGCCAGGGAGCCTGCCTACCGCCGATAACAAGACCCGTAGGCCTTACCGAGTGGCTTCTCCCCTTGACCTCCCCACACCCCGCAGACACTCGGGCCGCGGCAGAGACTCCACCCGCTGACTGCTCCTAAGCCCTTTCTCCCGACTCATTTCTGCCAGGACAATCTCAAATGCTCCGCTGACCAGGCTGGGCTGTATACCAGCGGCAAATGTCCGGAGGGCTCTGAACGGAGTAGCCACTGTTCTGTGCGTGTTGCTCACATCCAGTCCTCTCGTCTCCCATCCACGGTGTAAGGCATGGACAACCACTAGCCCCATTTTACAGAGGGCGAAAGTGAGGCACAGAGCAGTTAAGTAACTTGCCTAAGGACACACAGCTGGGAAAGGCAGGGTCAGGGCTCAAAATCAGGCTGTCAGCACTGACGCACTTTACCACTCCTTTATACACGAGGGAGAGGGGAGGTCAAGGAAAAGGTCGGTGTTTATTGAGCATCTACTATATGTCAGGTGTGTTATGTCTGCCTCCTCATTTTATGTTGAGAAAAATCAGGGGTGTGTGTGTGTGTGTGTGTGTGTGTGTGAATGCATCAGTGTCCTTATTTTTACAAATGAGGGAATAGGCTCAGAAGAGAGGCGCTATTCAAGGTTATGCTGCGAGTGACTTTAGGCCCAATCCGCCTGATGCCAAAGCCACCTCCTCCAGGAAGCCCCACAGGCTTGGCGCTCAGATGCCACTGACTCGACACCTGGAAATCCGTTGTCCTCTCGTACCCTGGACTCATCACAGGAGTGACCCCCCCTCCCCCCCATGACTGGCAGTGGCCTCTGGGGACAGGTGGGGACTCCTGTCTGCGGTCTGTGAAGTCCCCAGTAGAGCCCAGTGAAGGGCTGGGCCTGTAGGAGGCCCGCAGCAAATACTAGGGAAGAATTAAATAAGCTACGGTTTAGACTGAGGGGGATCAAGGTCAGCCACGGTGAGGACCCAAATCCCATGGTCAGGCACACAAAGGGACACTGGGGTGTCCCTGTAGCTTTCTTCTTACCTAGCCCCCCATCTGCCTAACAGACTTAGGCAGCAGCAAGAGAGATTTAAGCTAGACAACAGTAGGCACTGCCTAACAACTGATTTCGATTCACTTCCAGAATGATCTGTCACGTGGGACCCCCCCCAAGTCAGGGTTGTGAGGGCAGATGCAGCCCCACCGCCACAAGGGAGCAGGTGAGAGTCTCCTCCTCTCAGTGGGGACCCCCTTTCTCACCCCCATATCCTCCCTGGCGAGCCCTTCCTGGTCTGTGCTGACAACTCTCAGGTGTTTTCTTTAATCTCAGACACAGACCTCTCTCTGGAGCTTCTGACTTCTCAATGTGGTCTCCAAAAATTCCATCTCCTGAGCACCCCCAAGTCAGCATACCCCACGTGAACTCCCCACCCCACCCCTGCTTCCCCCAGTCATACACTCAGACACATGGGGTGATCCTGGCCTCCGTGCTCCCCTCCACACCCCCACATCCCAGCCACTGGCAAACCCAGCCGAGCTCAGAATCCACCCCAAATGCAGCCGCCTCTCTCCCTCCGCCCACCAGGCCAGCCCAGCCCACGCCAGGCCTCCTCCCGAGTCTCCCCACCTCCAGGGTTTGCTGCCCACCTCCCAACCTCCGCAGCCCTGCTCTGGCCTCCAGCAACCCTGCAGAGGTCCTTCCCACCACTCAAGAATAGCTCTGTGCTGGGGCGCCCGGGTGGCTCAGTTGGTTAAGCGACTGCCTTCGGCTCAGGTCATGATCCTGGAGTCCAGGGATCGAGTCCCACATCGGGCTCCCTGCTCGGCGGGGAGTCTGCTTCTCCCTCTGACCCTCTTCCCTCTCGTGCTCTCTATCTCTCATTCTCTGTCTCAAATAAATAAATAAAAATCTTTAAAAAAAAAAAAAAAGGAATAGCTCTGTGCTCTCAGAGTGGATCCCAGGCCCCCGCCCGCGCCCAGCCTCCTTGCAGCCCCGGGCAAGTATCTATCTATTCATTCATTCATTCACTCATTCCACACATACACACTGGGCGTCTACTACTACTACGTTCTAGGTGCTGGGGGTTCAGCGATGAGCCCAACACAGTCCTTGCCCTCAGTCCCTGCCTTTAGTCTAAGAAGCTCGCACGTGAGCAGATGCACACACTGGTAGCGCGCCCTCACAGAGACAGATGCCTGGGAAGTGGCCAGCGCAGTGCTGTCTGGAGGCAGTGGGGGGGACGCCACGGCCTCTGGCCACCCCTCCATCTCTAACCATTTAGGAGGAAGCATCCTGGGAAGTCTGGGCATTGCCTGCAGACCCTGATGCTTACTGGGTGGTGAGTCCAACCAGCTGTGAGGGCAAAGTCTCCGCTGGAGTCAGGAGCCGAGGCTGGGGGATGGGCAGTAGCAGCCCCCCCCGCCCCCACCAACCCTGGGGGGCTGCTGCTATGGAGTGCATCGTGTTCTGCCTTCTCCCACCCACCCATACCTGGGCCAGGGGAGCCGGCTGCCTGGGAGGACAGGGAGGGCAGTCCAGCCACCAGCAGGTAGGGCCACCCGATGCGGGGTGTGAAGGGGAGAGGCCAGCCGGCCCCACCCGAGCTCAGGTGAGCTCCCCTCTAATGGCAGGTAAGTTCAAAGACCTCAGGTCTTCTTTAGGGGGAGGAAAACGCCTCTTACTAAGACCTGACGGAGGGCCCGCTTGGGCCAGGCATGGTGCCTCCGTTTCCCGTTCAGGCCTCAGAAGAGGCCAGGAAGGGCGGGGGGGGGGACCGCACAGCTGTCTGGTTAAGGAGCCCGACCCCTCTCCCAGGCCCGCCTGTTCTCTTGGCCGAGTCTGAATCCATTCATTCCAGCCCTGCACCATCATCACCCCCCCCATGCCTGCTGTGGTTCCCTGCCCAGCCCGGACACCCCAGCACCCCGAGCCCAGGCCCCGCACCCCACCCTGTACCTCTTAATGATGAAGTGGATGCTGTGTCGCTCCTCCAGGATCCGCTTCAGCTTGGGGACCCCGTAGGTGCAGGGGCGCTTGAAGGGGATCTTGTCCGGGATGCCCACAATCTCCACAGCCTCTGGGTCGCAGGCAATCTTCCTGTAGGGGACGGGGACCATGTGGTCCAGGCCCAGGGCTTCCGCTGGAAGGGCAACGGCAAGGCTGAGCACGGGACGGAAGCGGCGGGACATGCGGGGGCCCCAGGGCCGCCGTCACTGTGACCTTCCCCCGCCCCCCTCCCCTGCACATGGTGCTTCCTCTTGAAAACTGCCTACAGGTTCCCATCCCCCTCAGCGACAGCCAAAGTCCTACCTGGGCTTACGAGGACCCAAGTGACCGGGACCCCATCACCTCTGACCTGATGTCCCTGCTTTCACTGTTTCCAGCCTCCTTGTTGCTTCCCTAACAGGCCAGACACAACACCTGCCCCAGGCCCATTGCACATGCTCTTCCGGCTACTGAGACACTCTTCTCCCAGATCACCATTCACTTCCCTTCCTCCCTTTCCCCACTCAAGTGTCCCCTCCAATGTCACCTCATCAGCCAACAGCCCCCTCCATCTCCCCATGGCACACCCTGCTCTATTTTTCATCCCCTGTTTACTGTGACCTGACACTATAAACATATTCTGTATGCTGGTTCACTGTCAGTAACATCAGCTCCACGGGAGCAGGGGGCAGTTGCTGCTCCACGGCCGGGATCCAGACAGGATGGGATATAGGCTAGCTGCTCCCTGCACTCTGTGAGCGAATGAATGGCTGAAGGAAGCTTCTCGGCAGGACTCCTCCAGCCCCCCAGATGTGCTCTCTCCTCCAGGGAGGCATCTGGCATTCTTCTCACTCATCAAGGACAGAAACGAGACACAGACAACTTTGCCAATAGCAATGTAGACAGAATCTGGGCTTAGGAAGTGGTGACTTGTTCCTTTCTTCCTTCCAGACCCTTGGGTTTGGTCTTGGGCCACCTTAACTATTCACTTCCATCACACCTCCAAGTTCCCACTCATTCAGGGACCAAGTACTTCTTGAGTACCTACTATGTGCTGGATGGTACTTTCTTGGGTCCCCGGTTCTCCCCAGGGCCTGGGAGGTCTCAGGAGACTTGAGCAGGGCCGGCGGTCCACTTCCCTCCTGCTTCGTCCTTCCAAACTCCCCCGAGGGTCCCGCGTCCCTGGGCCCTTCCTCAGGCCCCTCCCCATCCTGGCCTTGCTCTTCTGCCGGGGCTTTGCCTGTGTCCCAGCAGGTGCCAGCCCCGAGCCGGCCTCCCCTGCGGCCACACCCTGGCCGGGACGCGGCAGGGCTGCCTGGGGCCTTCCCTGGCGCGCCGTCAAGAATTGTTTTTCTGTTGATGCAGCCAGGTCTGCGTCGGCGGCTTTGGCAGCCAGATCCTACTGTGAAGCCACACTTAGCTCGTTGTCAAATTAAACCCTCGAAATCTCAACAGCTGTCAAACCATTTCTTTCCCCAACCCCAGCCCCAGCCGGTGAGCGATGGCTTCGGCGAGTCTATGCACATTTGTCTCCACTCGGGTTCATGTCATTGGCTGGGCCTGTCTCTTCAGCCGCACCTGGCCTCCAGCCTCTGCCGCCCGAGAGGGGGAGACTGCAGCCACCAGGCAGGAGCCTCTGTCCCTCGTAGAGACTCAACCATTTCCCAGGATCCCCCATTTCTTCTCCATTTTATTTTTTCCCCCTGCTGCACCCCCAGCCCCATTGCTGGCCCACTTCACCCAGGGCTGGTGGCCGGAAGGGCAGACCGAGGAGCAGGATCCATTCGTCCAGGGTCTGCGGGATGCCTCAGGCTGCCACACGAGGTCCTCACCCCCAGGGACGTCCCCAGTCCTCCTGGGGAACTTCCTTCTCCCCAGGGCAGCTACAGGGGAAGCTCAGACGGAGCTCTGGCCCGAGAAGGGGCAAGGCCTCAGGCACTCCAAGCGCAGTGCTCCTCCTTGGGTTTTGGATGCGGCAAGGCCAAGTGCTGGCACCCGCAAAAGGCTCAGCTTTCTGGAAACATCCAGAGTACACAATAGGCAGGAAGCCTGGCGGCTGCCGTGCCCAATCAGCTGGGGCACAACGCTCCGAAGGCAGTCGGGGCCAGCCCTCCCCAGGTCCCCTCCCCCTACTGCCCATCCAGCTCGCACCTGCCTGTAGGGGAGGAGAAGGGGAGGAGTGGGTCGGCCAGAGAGACCACATCAAAGGTTATCAAAGGTGCTCAGGCTATCCCAGACTCCTCACTAGGCCTCTAGAGCCCTGCTCAGCCCCACCCCAACCCAGAAGGTGCAGGCTGCCAAAGCCCCAATGTGGATCAAAGGGCACCTCCTCCATGAAGCCACCCAACTCCTCAAGCCTGTGGAGACCTCGCCTTTTTCTGAGCTGTCCTGTCTTTCCGAGGGCCCCCACCCCCGCGTATTACTGTATACTACCTCATCCCACTGCACGCTGCTGAATACACCTGGAGACACATCTTCAGGCACCTGCCAAAGCACCTTGAGACCAGCACGGGCCTCACTGCCTGGCACAAGGTTGGGTGGGGGGAGCTGAAAATGCGTGACTGATAAGTGAGCGAACCAGTAAATGCATGAGAAGAGAAAAGAAGGGAGGGGGCAAGTGTGACAGGTGACCCAAGAAGTCATGTGGTCTTCAGCTCTGGTTCCTGGCTCGAGAGTTCCCAAACCCCTGGTAATTTCCTTGAGTGACAGGGCTGAGGAGAGAGTCCTATTTTTCCTAATAAACCCCTTTCAACCCACCCGAGTTTATGGTAACGAGGGGCAGGCCCCCAGCACCCTCAGGAGGGGGACCGGTTGCCGGGGCAACCAACCAGGTGATCAGAGGGTTGACACTTTCGGCCCCACCCCCCACCCCCACCTTCCAGGAGGGGAGAGGGGCCGAGATTGAGCTAATCACCAGCGGAGGATATTTTAATCAATCCTGCCTACTTAATGGGACCTCTGTAAAAACTCGAAATGTGGGCTTCAGAGAGCTTCCGGGTTGGTGGATCCATGTGCCAGGAGGGTGCACCCCCAAACTCCACCAGGACAGAAACTCCTGCACTCGAGACCCTTCTGGACCTCACTCTATGTACGTTGTCACCTTGCTGCTCATCTGTATCCTTTATAATAAACAGGTAAAGACAGATAAAGTGTTTCCGAGTTCTAGCTGCCCTTACAGCGGACTGTCCGAACCTGAGGGGGCAGTCATGGGAACCGTGGATGTGGAGCCACGTTGCACAGAAGTGCGGGTGCCCTGGGGACCCACCCCTAATTGCGGGGCCGTCTTGTGGGACTGAGCCCTTAACCTGTGGGCTCTGCGTCACTCCCGGTTGTCAGTGTCAGGATTGAACTGCTTGCTGTGGAAAACCCCCTCTTCCGGTGTCAGAAGCATTAGAGAGAGGGTTTTCCTTTAGCGAGGCTGGAGGGGAGGGAGGAACACGGGGAGAGAGAGGAGAGAAAGGAGAGAGAAGGAAGAGTTTAAGCCCCACCCTGTCCCTTTTGCTTCAGGTGAGAAGGCCAAGGTTAGAGAGGGAGGCGGCCAACTCCTCCTGGTCGCCTGGGACAAGTGGCTGCGGACTCCCAGTGCAGTGCTCCTCCTGGACCTTGTGTGTTCAGGGAGCTCCCGGGGTCCCTGGCCCTCCTCTCTGTCTGCAGGCCTGGGTGGCAACCATCCCTGCCCTCCCTTGGCCCCATGGACAGAGGGACTTGCCCACAGCGGTGCGGCACCATTCGGGGGGTGGTGGGTGACACCAGGGAATCCGTGGGGACATGTGTCATGTCCCCGTACTGAGAGCCACCCACCCAGATAAGGGCTACACCATGGCCATTGCCTGCTGGGAGCTTACAGGGGGAACCCCATAAAGGCTGAGTGAGCAAGGCCTGCCAGGGAGACGAGAGGGACAAGTGTGGGAGCGCGCGGCTGGGGTGCGGGCGAGCGGTGTCCGAGCACCCAGAGCAGGAAGGTCTTACAGGCCACCTGGTCCCGCCCCTGCCTTCTAGCCAACGGTGGCTTCGTTTTCCATGCGGCGCGGCACGAAGCTGGACCACGTGGAGGACACACCTGCCCCAGCGCTCCCCCCATGTGCAGAGAAGGCTGACATGCGTTCTGGGCCCCGCGCAGTCCTGGGTGCCGGGGACACACAGAGGGGCCGGCGCGGTCCTGCCCAGCCCTCCCCCGGCAACAGACACAGACAAAGCACGTCAAATGCAGGATGTGTAATGGAGAGGAGCCCATCAGGGCTCTGGGGGCCCCCTCCTGGCCCAGCCTGAGTCTCGAGGAACAAGCGGGAGTCTGCTCCCCAAACACGCAGAGGGCACGCCAGGCAGAGGGCCCAGCACCAAGGCCAGGGCACCGGGCGCGGTGTGTGGGGAACCTGCAAAGCGCATGGGGCCGCCGGCCACTCTCCCGGGTCTTCCCCGCAGGGCCCCCCCTGCCCCCCCCGCCCCCCTCCCACAGGTGAGTCGAGGTTGGGGCTCTGCCGTCAGTTCCGCCCCCTGGAAAAGTCTGGAAGGGCAATATTGACACAACCACCCCCTACCCAGACAGGAGAGGACATGAGCACGGCCGCTGCGCATATGGCTCCTGCTGTCATGTTAGGGAACATGAGTGACTGCCACGTAATGAGATGCTCAACACGCTGCTGAGGCCACGCGGCGGGCCGCGCCGCCCACTCACCGTATCTGCTGTTAAACAGGATCTGCACACACTCCCGGAGCGTGTTGATGTCCTCGGTTTCTTTTATGAAGGCGTCCCACTTCTCTATCAAAACACAAGAGGTACGAGTGAGGGCAGGTCGCGGCAGGGAACCCAGGGTGCGGCCGCCTCCCCCTCCACTGGACCCTCCTAGCTGGGCCCGGGGGCCCCGGAGACGGCCACACTGGAGGCCACCGGGCTCTCTCCTCCAGAGTCCCACAGAGGGGCTCAGCTCTTCCGCTCACTCCCACCCCGGCCCTTGACACCCCAGCCTCCTCCAGGAGGCAGCCCTACCCAAATCCAGGGTGCTCGGAGGGTTCCCCCACCGCCACCCCCCGCTCTCTTCTCTCGCCTCTGTCGGCCGCCAGGAGCAGTGCGTATTACGCAAGCTCGGCCTGGCCCTCCTGGGTGTCTCCTGCCCACACAGGCAGGGCGTGTGAGTAAGGAGACGCAGAGTCCTGGCCTCAAAGGCACTAATCCTCATGCCTTGTACACCCGGCCTTGGCCCTGCGGCCTCCCTCAAACCCCCAGGCCTGCCGGCCTCTTCCACGAAACCAGAGCCTCTGCCTCAATTTACTATTAATAACTAGAGCCGCCATTCGGTTCATTATGATAACATTATAAATGCCATCTTTAATTTATTTACTTTATTATTTTTGTTGCTTAAAAGATTTTATTTGTCAGAGAAAGAGAGAGAGAGAGAGCGAGAGCGAGCACAAGCAGGGGGAAGGGCAGGCAGAGAGAGAGGCAGGCTCCCCGCTGAGCAGGGAACCCGATGCGGGGCTCGATCCCAGGACCCTGGGATCATGACCTCAGCCGAAGGCAGATGTTTCACCAACTGAGCCACCCAGGGGGCCCCCCATCTTTAACTTATTAAGAGTTTATTTGTCCTGAGTACTTTATATAGAATATCCTATTTAATCCCTCATGATATCTTTTTTTTTTTTTTTTTTTTTT